ACGATACTGCTGGTCACTCCTATGTTCACATCTTCAGATGCATATGAGCAGGATTTATGCTCCAGTACACCTGAAAATTTATTGAGCTTTTGCATCTGAATTACTTGCTTTTGAAAATGCAACCCCAAATCACATACCTGCTTTAAACTGGCAGAAGAAAGATGCAACTAAAGCGTACAGTGGTTTAAACCCAACAGCTCTGTCTTCTTGGTGGTCTTCATAACTAACTCTTCCAATGCTAGCTTTATGGGATAAATTATCCACAACCCCTACAGCACTTTGTCAGAGTCCAGCATGCTTTTGAGCTCTCTGAGCCCCTTGTTAAAATCCAGTGACCAAACATTAGCCATACATCTACATATTGGCCGTACACCCATACATTGGCTGTACATCCATACACTGACCTTTACTCACCACTGTCTTATGCCACTGCTTGTAGTGATGCAAAGTAGCCATATGCTGTTATTGAGTCTGCTAGCTATTTTAAACTGTTTTTTTCACTAGCAAAATTATTCATGGAGCAAAGGAACAACTCAACCTTTATCCCTGAAGCAGTTTCCTATTTTTATTATCCTTAAACCTGCTCTAAACCCTTTTTGTCCCTAGCAGCTACTGTGGGATATATCCATCTCAGAAGGTGGATACACAAGCAAACAGACATTCAGAGCACTCTGCAGTCTGTAAGACAGGTCATCATGGGTCTCCTTGCACTTGGACTCATGCTTCTCTTGGGGAGGTAGAGGTGTGTTGGGCAAGGATGCAGGCGACCCTGAAGAGGAGAGATGGAGGGGAGAGATCAAACCTCAGTAGGAGGCAAGTGTTGCAAGTCTTCTGAAGTGAGGCTGGGATCTGAAGAGATTGAAAAACAGCTGGTGCCCTGCCTCCAGCATGGAAAAGCAACCCTTGGTGCTTCATAGGAAGATGTGGGAGCCTTTTTACAGTTAGTAGAACAATAAAAAACCCTGAACCACAAAGATCATGCAGCCTCATGCACTTGGTGGCCCCAGAAGCAGCTCTGTGTAATGAGAAGTGCAGAGAAGCTGTGTGTTGCTGTGGGCCCATCTGTGAGTTTCAAACCTTCCACTGAGTGCTTTATGTTACCTGTTCATTACATTACAGAAGTATCACATAATGTTAGCTTTACTATCTTGTTTGTTATCATTGAATGCTTGTTTCCTTGCTCCAAGATAGAAAGGCTCTCTGAGATGCTGCCTGATCTACAGCTCCTGCTCCAGAACATCTTCTTTCAGACCCCGTGCCATATCTGCTATGAGGATGTCATATCTCATTAACTTATATATCATTAACTGAAGTGACAGGCTTTTTCCAGCCATTCCCATGGGCAAACACAGAGGAACAGGGTGCTTGCACCTCTGACTTTCCAACCACTGGGTTATGGCACTTGTCTGAGAGGCTTTCTCTGGGTTTCACATCCTGTAGAAAGGAAAATGTTCCTCCTCCTGGGAGGAATCTAACCTACTTCTCTTTTCTTATTTGAATGCATGTAACTGTAACTTTCAGTTGTTACATGTTCAACATTAAAGAGCTCCTTACTATCAAAATAATTTCTATTTGCTCGTTCATAGAGTATGCAATTTTGTGAGCTAGATAGATTGGATTCTTAAGTCATCCCTTGTCCTATATGTTTTTTGAGACCTTGAATAATTGTTGGGACTTTTCTGCATTTTGTCTAATTTTTCAAGTTAGTTTGGAAAGGTTGTCTTTCAGAAGAAGGCAGAAGTTCAGAAGTTGTCTTTGTGTTGATAGCAGTATCTCCACCTGTGCTCTCCTAGCACTCTGCTTATATAAGACAAGATTCTTTTTGTTGATATAACCTGCTACATCTCATTCATTCAACTGCTTACCAGAGTCCCTAAGTGGCTACTTCTTTCTGAAACACCTCCTTCCATTAAAGGCAGCATCCATTCTGGGGTCCTTGGTTGACAGAAATATGGTGTAGTTTATCAAACAATACAGAAACCTTGGTAGAACAACCTTGAATTTACAAATTTCTCTCTGGCAGTTTCTCCAGGTTTGAATTTTCTGTTTCTCCAGATAATTGAAAGATAATGATTAATACTGGGCTAAAACAATTGGCTATCATCTCACTCTGCTCTAGACAGCTTACTGTGGCAGATCTCAAAAGCTACTGTGAATGGTGAGTTATCAAGTGCTCTTTTCTGATCCATTTATATTTACTAAATTGGCTGCTTCTAAAGCAATTCTTTGTGGGAATGGTGCCCAGGGACAGTCTTGGGCAGCTGTCTGTCTGGCAGGCTCCTATTGGTGTTCTACCAGCTGAGCCTTTTAAAGAGCATCACAGACATCAAAAAGTACAATTTAGTTTTGTTCAGGTGCAGTTCCAGATGATGAGGTAGCTCCTAAAAGCATCACAGAAGGGAGTGAAATAATCTGCTCACTTTCCTAGAGGAAAGTGCAGTGACTGTTTTGTCTGGGGGCTGGTTCACTCATGCCTCCCCAGGACTTCTCAGTGTTCCTTAATGCAACAAGCCATAGGTTCAGTTTCCTGCTCCCATCAGGACTGAAGCAGCAATTTAAGAACTTTAACATTTGTTTTGGTGAGAGTCAGTATTAGTCTGATGTTACTTCTTAAACAGATGCATCATTTTAAAATGAAAATACACTTCTATAGAAAAAAAAAATCATCTAACTGGTGCAAAGCATTTATGAGAATTAGTAAAAAACAACAACAAAAAGTGACACAAATGTATAACTTCCGTGCCCATCACACGTTAGTATAGTTAGATTAGAACTGTGGTTTAACGTTTCAGAAAGCCCCATTTCAGTCTTACCGCCTCCGTGTATCTGACACAAGTATGGAAATCTCCACACGTTCCCCAGCCCCACGGCAAATCCGACACAGCTTAAAATGTACTGGAACTTATTGTCCCACTTGGGTCTGCCATCTTCTTTAGGGGTTTCGGGTGGCACTGAGAAATCTTTTGACATCTTAATGAAGTATCCTTGGCTACTTAGCCCCTTTCCCAATAAATGAGAAGATGCTTCAAAATCTGTCTCTGCTGAAGGTTTTATGTGGGGCAGCTGGAGGATCCTGGAAAGAGAGGTGGAGCTTTCTTTTTATGTGATGCAGAGGAGCGTCTCATTGCCAAAACCGCAGTTTAAAGACAAAACCAGGAATTATTTTTATAAAGTTACCACTCCTGACTTTTTTCAAGCTCCTTCTATAGTTAGAGAACTTGGAAATATGTTGTTAATGGGTAACTCAAGATCAAACAAGATTTTCTTTTCTGTTCTCCTTCTGTTCTCAGATACTTTCAGAGAAGTGTGACGCTGAATACAATTAAAAAAAAAAAAACTTTCACAGGAGACTTATTAAAATCGTAAAAGACTTGGAAAAATCTCTGCATAAAGAGTTGCCATTTCATTTCATAGCTTGTTAATAGAGTAAACAAGCAAAGACAACTTTTGCAGATGCAAAAAGTAAATAAAACAAAAACCAAAACCAAGAAAAATGAGACTGTATATGTGCAGACATTGGAATTTGGTCCATTTTCACTACAGCTGCTAGAGGTTAATCACCTCCCACCTGTCAATGAATCCCAAGTGACTATTTTTATTGTTAATTAAATAGTTACTGATGAATGCAAGAGCTGAATGCTTTCCTTCAGTTGAAAGTATGTGAGAATGTTCTTCTGTTGTCTGACAGTTATACCAGGGTTTTGCTGTTTTGCATGCCAAATCAGTTCACACTAAACGGATCAGCCAGTCAGCTTGCTTGCTTCAGGAAACCAACACATTATGCCTGGATTCCTGTTTTTGGAATGGGAAGATTATCTAAGTGAAGATGGATGTTTTTTTTCCTTCTCTGAAGATATACTACTCTAGAGTACATATACCCTAAGTATCCCTATTTCTTGTAAGTGAGTATTTGGATTATAAGGGAGTGTCAGGGTGTAAACTGAATCAATCTTGTCTTAAAAGGTGGGTATAGGAAGAGCTGCAAAGTGTTACAAATGTATTGCCTGTGTACAGGGACAGCTGGATGAAAGAGCCACCTATCCAGAGGGGACATATGCACTGTCTGCTTCTGGGATTCAGCCTGGGTGCCCCAGTGGTGCCACTTTCTCTCCTCAGTGACCACATAAGGAATGGGACTCCTGACTGAGCTCCTCGGGGTCACATGAAGGTTAGAAGCTTGAAATAGTTGCAAGGTAGCTGTGCCTGTGCATGGTTCTGAGTGTATCTGAACTAGAGCTACCTACCTTGATTGTGACAGACTAGGACAAGAAGTTTTGCACTGCTTGGGTGTCTCGGATCCCCCACCAGCATGGATCTCCCAGGCAAGTGGTGCACTGCTTGCTCATGACTGCCAGAGAGAGCAGATTTTGCCATTTCCTGAGCTGCTGCTGCCCCTCTGCAAGACTACCTCTTCTGGCATCAGCAAAAGCAGCACTGTCTGCTGGGAACTTGGAATTAATAGGCAATTAATAAAATATCCATAATTAGAAATGAATCAAACTTTCATTCTCATACTTAGAAATGTTTTTATTAAATATTTTAAACTTCTGCATGAGACAAATAGTATTGGTGGCTTTGTGCAACACAGTGGCATGTAAAGTAAAAACAATTTAATGTGCAAGAGCAGTCAATATTAAGTTGTCCTTCATATTGGCCACCCAACCAGCATGACTGCACAAGGAAGAGTCACTTAAGGCATGTCAAGGGCAATGCATCTTCATACAGAGTACTGCAAGCCACTTTCAAATAAGCTGGCTTCAAAACCAGGAGGACAAAATATTTGGCCTGGTGCCCCAATCACTTGCAAATGTGGCTGTTTTGGTTCCAGGATCCAAGCCATTCGCTCTTCACAGTGCATTGCGTTGTTCAGTAAACAAAGGTTTACCTGGAATCAACACATAGTTGTTATTTTATGAAAATAAAATTAACTCTGGATTCTTTTAAAACACAAACAAACTTTTCTTACTGGCAAAGCATTCTTCCACATTTTAACAATGGTTTTACGATGAATACTTTAAGTTTCCATTAACAGAAGTCTCAGACGTGGAGATCATAAGGCCCGTACGATCATTTTTTTTCTGACAGCAATTTCTGATGGCTTTGTAGATGGCAAAGACAGGGATGGCCAAACTAGGCACACCAGCAAGGATTACAATAATAGCATACACCCAATTGGGATATTCAACCTTCTGTGTTTTGGGGAACTCCTCCTGAAAGAGCAAACAATCAAGTTGTAGAAAGTCGTGAGAAGCAAATACCTGGGAACACGCATACATTCAATAAATCAGCAGATCAAAAATGTCATCAGAACAGGAGCTAATCACAGTGGCAGAATAATTTGCCAATTCCACAACAGTTTCCAGCTCAAAGGTTTCAAGTCTCAGCTGTTTTGGACTAATTTTTACTTAAAAGTGGTGGAAAGAAGATGGCATGAAAGAAGCAAGAGCTAGGAAGGGACACCTGTGGGACTGCTCCTGGCTCACTTCCTAGGCACAAAGGAGTGTGGGGCTGGGGGTGGCTTTAATTAATATTAATTTCTTCTGTCAATGATGAGTAACCAGCATTAGTGCAGTTCTGTGATTTTAAATGCCTACAGAAACGAGTGCAATATCAAAATAGCTTTGCAGATTTGGTCCTTTGTCAATGTAGAAAGGCTGTGACATTTTCAGCTCTTCTATAGTCCTTGCTGGGGAACTGACATGTGGTTCAGTCTTACCCAACAACTGGATTAATGTTTCGGGTTTATCCACTTTGGAAAAGCTACTCAGGTGTCACTGTATACCAGCTGAAAGGTATCACAGTTGAATTTAGGACTTATTTTTCTAAGTGTTATATTTTATTATTACTTTATGTCTTGTAGTATTTTTTTTTTATACTGGAAAACTGTTAAAGGTGGGAGATGAATATAACTGGTGTTACATGACTCTTACATAAAATAATTCTAAACAAATATTTTGGGTTTATATACTTACATAGCTAGGGTCCCAAATGCTGTAGAGCAGTTCTTCGTTGACTTTCACCACAAAATAAAAGAAGAAGATAACTAACATAATGAGAGGACTGACAACTCTCCAGGTAATCTGCCAGAAAATGTTGGGCTTGTGTCCAATCATGAACTCAATATCCTTATTAAACCTAGAAACAAAACCAGGAAGCTCAGGACAGTAAAAACTGGTCAGGATCAAAGGGTGCCTGCTCATAAACAGGAAATTCCAAACTTCCCCTAGCCACGCTTCCCAGGACTTTGCAAATGTCAGTGTGAAAGCAGGACTGATAACAACATCGGGATAGGCCTAAGAACTTCAAATTAAGGCAGATGTTGCCAGTCAGGGAAATTATTTTGGGAACTGTACTTCAAGAAGTCTGTGAAGCATATGCAAAATAATTACAACACAAAAGAGTTAATGCAGACGGATTTTCCCTGTAACATTTTGCAGTATGGTTTCATGATTTTTTGGTAAAGATCTCAGAGCTGCATAAATTAAAAAGAATTACACAATATTAAAAAAGCAAAAGCAAATTTAACTATTTTTTCAAAAATTAGATTCTAAGTGTAGCGTTTGCTTAATTTGGATTTCTACCAGTTTTCTCAGGTTGAGAAAAAATTAAACAAAATTTAACCTTACACATTATTAAGAACACCTAAAAATGTGTTGTTTGGGTTATTCATAGAGCATGCAGTGGAAATGGGGCAAAAACGCCTCCACAAGAAGGAAGAATTCCTGCATTGAGAGTGATACTGTTTGCAACCAGTCCTGAAATGGTTAATGATCTCCAGATATGATGCAGCACCAGGTGAACAGGCTTCTTAAAAAATATTAATTTCAGAAGTTTGGGACTTCTGTTGTTAGTCCTCTTGTCTGGCTTTCCTGCATATCCTATGGGCATAGGTCTGAAGTGACTATTCAGTTGGTGCTACAGCTATGAACAACACACAGAATTCAGCTGAGTCTCAACTACTACGAAAATTTATTTTATCTCTTCTTCCCTAATCTTTAAGATCTAGGTATCATTCTTAAAATTATATGGAGCCCCATGTCCTAACTGCAGAGCATGCCCAAGTGTAGTTCAAATGTGTGTCACAGACAAGATGCAGATTGTCCTTCAAGCAGATGAGACATCCTTTTACCAATGACTCTCTTAGGAAACAAGTCACAGAAATTCATCTGGGGCAGACACCACTACCTTTGGGCAGCCCTGATAAGCTCTGCACTCAAAGAGGGCTACAGTGGTGTGTACTGGCCAGGACCATGGAAGTTTGGTGTGAAGCTCCTTTCTGACTCAATCCCCACCCCTCTATGGCCTTCGCCCATGTCTGTGTCCCGGGAATAGTTTTAATTTGTATTTAGCTTGCACTCTGTAAAGTGCTCTGAGATTTTAAAGGGAAGAAAAAGTGATCAACACAGACTTTTCTGTCCTTACCAAGTTAAAATAAGCCTTGTTTTTCTAGGGTACTCCCTCTGCTCATCTAGCATACATAAGTTGATTCACATCTCCTTAGGTGGTATAACACTTTCAGTATGGGAAGATGGGCCACAAGGGCATTCACCCCATTGCCAGGAGCAGCACAACTGGAAGGTCTGGCACAGGTTCAAGCAAAACCTATCAGTGATTGAACTTCCCATGCTTTTATCATATTTTTTGTACATTTATTATGAAAAGAAAGATGGCAAAATTTGATTTATCACATCTTTAGAAAGCTGATAGGACAGTTATTCACTGCTACAACTGATAAAAGTTCTGAATCTATCAGCTAAGACCATAACTCAGTAGCCTTGGAGCTGCATCCTGCTGTAAAACAGTATCTGCCAGGAGATCCCTGCTTTGGACAATATCATTTAGCATTCACTTTAAACACTCCTGGGATATACCTCTGTCTTAAACTTACAGCTCGGTGCCAATGTGCCTGTATTTTGCTTCTACTAACTAAATCTTTGATGCAATTATCCTGAGGGAGATTTATTTTAAATGTCACTAAATTTAGGATGCAAATGAGCTCTAGTAGCACTATGTAACTTTTATAAATGCTTACATTCTGCTGCCCACTTTAAAAATAATTATTTGCAGTCATATTATTAGGGCATACTCTAGGGCACTTGCTAATGCTTAATATTTTCTTGAAATATCTTAGAGATGTGTTCATTTTGGTTGTTATAGGTCATTATCTGTAATGTATTAATAAAGTGGAAAACTTTCATGTACAAATAAAAATCCCCACTGCACTCTTAACAAAGCATTGTTTCTTTTTGCTGAGAACTATTTTAGAAACCTAAATCATATAAGCAACCCTAAACTACAGTTGTGTAATTTTAGTGATTTCTAGAAGAGAGATTCTCTGCACTGAGTTATAGTAAGATTACAGCAATACGACTAAACAATTTATACAGTGTTTAACTTGTATTCCATACCTGTCTATTCCATAAATGTAGACGACTGAAAACATCTCAAAAAATGCAATTATTAGCAAGGGAATAGAGCCAGCAAAGTTGTCAAATAGAGCCAGCCAGTAATTTCCAGACTTTAGCACAAAAATAAAAGCTATCAAGTAAGACCCCAGGCAAATAAGACCTGTGAAAAAGAAAACAAAACAAAACAAAACAAAACAACACCACATTTATGCATAGAAAGCAAAAGAGAAAAAAAAAAAAAAAGTATTCTATTTCCTCAATAGCTATAAAGCTTTAGAAGTAACTTTTAATGCAGTTGCAGCCCCAAGGTAACCCCTGTGCTTCCATGCAGGTGAAATGGCAAAACTCTCCTAACATTGAACAGGTGGGAGATGCTGCAAATAAAACAGGAGGAGGCTGAGGAGAGAAAACAGATCCTCTTCCTCCTAGCTGGTGGGACAATGTTGCACTGAGACAAATCCTGCCTGGAGGAAGGGCTCAGGTCCTCCAGCTTCCCACAGGAGGAGGTGATAATCAGCATGAGCAAGCTGATGGGCAAGCCACAGGCTGAGCAGCTGTCTGCAGGCTCAGAAGGAACCTCACAGGAGCTGCCTTGTTGAGGGACTTGAGCAAACCTTCAGTATCCTATCTAGCAGTCTTAGAACCACGTCAGGTCAGAAAGTAGATGAGGGTGGGTTGGTTTTTCAGCATACAAGCTGTTCCCTGAGGGTGGGAGGGTCACTTGTCTCTAAAGAAGTACTTACCAGTAATAATTTCCTTAGGCACTTTGGGGGGTATAATCTTAAGATCTTGTAAAGGTACAAGCACACCTTCCATATTTCCAAACATAGATGACAAACCCAAGCAGAAGAGCATGATGAAGAAGAGGATGGACCACAAAGGTGAGACAGGCATTTTGGTGATAGCTTCAGTGAAGACAATAAAGGCTAGGCCAGTTCCTTCAACCCCCTGTGGAAGATTTCAGAAGCTCCAAAATTAGGCTCATTAACATTTTGCAGCACTTACATTTACATCAGTATTCACTACCCTTGGTGTACGAAATACCAACTACTGTTTTGCCAGCTACATGAAGTCAGCCTAGAACACTTGTGGTTTTAGCTACTAGTCTACCAGATTGTCAAAACTTTTCAGAGGAGTTAAATAGTTTATCTCTTCAAAGGCAAAATGAGGTAAACAAAAGTAATTATTCACCCCAAGAGCACTCCAAGCCAATTGCAGTCAATCAAGAGAAATATATCATAGAATCATTTAGGTTGG